GAAATCCTTGTCATGCGAAAAATTGACGTATGAAGGCAAGAAGGTCTGCAGTGTCAGATCATAGCTCACTGAAAATTAGGAAAATTTTAAATAGAAGGGATTGCCTCAGAAAGCAAAGCTTACTATTATCTGGGGTGTTTCAGAAAATGCAATCTTCTTTTGTTTTTATACTTCTCTAGGATGCAACGGCTGATGCTGAGGGTCAATCTTCGCTCAATTTGACATTCTACATTTAGACACGACACGGTATGGTTACGGCATGAATTTTCATGTTGTTTAGCGTTAGTATGAAACATCATTTTTATTATACATTAGAACAACGCTGAAAAATGGCGGACTCCTTAAACGATAGCTACCGCCAGTTAATTACTTGACATGCATCGGTGAAATGAAAGTAGCCATTGACACAGCAAAAACTCTCCTTGGTCTTATGATGCCTACGGAAAATTGCTGCCACTTTAAAAGTCCAGAAAGATAACCTATTTTGAATATCCCACGATTAAAAATTGAAAAGTTTTCCAATGTTTGGTTTCAACCCTTCGATATTTACAATTTCCCTTGAATTTATACAACTTTATCTTATTGTTCAATCGAGGTTTGAAGGCATAGCATTTGAACGTTATTACGTTGAAAGTACAGAATGGCACAGAAGTAGCACAATGTGGCTGTCATAGCTATCGCTCATGAAGGACTGCACAAAGTAAATCGGCTTTAAGCGTTTCGAGTAATGAAGAAGGCCAGAATGTCGGAGAATTGCCAGATCCATCTAAGATGGCTAACGCCTCTAAATATCACCTCCAAGCACGGATTATTGAGACTTTCTCTCACACCATCCAGTTTCGGCCTTAACAGTACTGTAACGGAAAGAGATTCAGGGTTAGTTTATGTTCAAGTCAGTACTACAAAACAGTAAGGCATAAAATCCAAATTAAAGATTTTTAGCGATCAAACAGTGATCACATTTTTTGAAACACCCATTTACCAAGGCGTACTATCTCTTAAAATTCTCACAGAGTATCCACTTCTTTTAAAATCTGTTTACTAAGATTATAATGGTAAAAAGGTCACTCACATGGCATAATGGTCTTAGGCAGACGCAGTTCGGCTCCAGTAGGGCCGTCGTCTTCTTCTTCTTCATCCTCATTGCTGGAACATTTTTTGAAAAACATTAACGCTTAACGAATACATGTGTAGCTAATCAGAAGAAATCTCAACTCCGT